CTTGATCAGTTATTTTATCAGAAATGTCTCTCTTCCGCCGACGCGGTTTTTTTTCGATGTTACTCTCATTGTCAGTCATTTCTTTTATCATGTAATATTATCCTTTCCTTATAGCAAATTCGGCCGCTGAGCTAACGCAGGGCCGGTCATCCACGAGGTCGCTTGGGTCCGAAGTGGCCGGTACTGATGTCGTCCACTAAAACGATCACGGTATTCCTCAGTTCTCTCGTTATGGGGATCAGCTGTATGATGTCCAAACGTGAGGTTGACCTATGGAAAATAGAGAAGACCATAGAAAAACAGAAAAATCAAATATTTCAAAATAATTTCCCTACAACGCGAAATTTACTTGCACACACAATTTACACTTACCCAAGTTTGGATTACATTCTTCTGAGTGGATTCACTATTTTCGTCTTGATCCTGAATCGAACCTGTAGAGGATTGAGCACCATTTTTATAAAGAAGAAGTATAGCAGTAAAGACCCACGCACAATAAAAAATATAAGGAACAAGGAACAGATATTAGCGATTAGGAATAAGAAATCATGACTAAAGCTGGTGTAGTATTGATACACGGCTTTCGATAAATTAAAAATCTATTGCCTGTGTTATTCCCTGTTTCTGTTACCTGTGTTCTTCATTATGCATCCAGTTTTATTCCCGTTTATTCCTTGTTCCTTTTATATTTTTGATTGTGCGAGGTGGTGCAGGCGTTATTTCTGCTGAAGAGCAGACTTATAAATCCAACTTTAAAAAGACGTGCAAACGCAACGATAATTAAAGTAATTTAAGAGTACCTTAATGCAAGTATTACTTGAATATTAACAATTCCCTTCCGCAAATATTCGCCCGTTCTATCTTAAACAAACGATTACGTGGGCAATCTTCAATTTGCGGGGAATTACTACGTCCTTCGTCCTTGCTGCCGTAAAGTGTACGGATGACGAGGACCGATGATGTTATGGTCAATGGTGCGATCCGGTGCCGGTGGGTGCCGGGTGCGATCGGCAGATGAGCAACATGCTATGTAGCTATGTGACCATGAAGTAAAGCCGGTAAAGCCGGTTCTACAATACGTCGCAAACGATGGCAACTGCTAGTTGAAAAGTGTTATTTCTGATTGCCGATTGCCAGTCACTGTCGTCAAAAAAGTAAAAATTTCGCTATCTCTCTTTTGACAACCGCAATTGACAAAGCGCAATGTGGAAGTAACGACACTTTTCAACTAGCAGTTGCCGTCGTTTGCGACGTATTGTAGAACCGGGAATCAGGAGAGGTATCTTCTATTACAGTGCAAGCACAGTATAAGCACAAAGAAGGATGAGATGAAAGTGATCATGCCCCCGACCCCGCGTTTCGGCTGTTATCAAATCCTGTAGATAATGTGCACGATTTTGTGGTTTTCTTCCATGCTGTATGTTCATGATTTTGTCGTAATGACGATTTCGTGGTTCTCTTCCGTGTTATGTTCACGATTTTTTAGTTTTTTTTCCAAAGAAAATAAAAAAATTGTGGACATAGCACGGAAGAGAACCACAAAATCGTGCACATTACCTACAAGATTCGGCGTGGATGTGGTGTGGATGCGACATATGTTTTTGTGCAAGAAGGTGCAACATGGCGCCTCTGGCTGTCAGAGTGCGATGAGTCCGTGGAAGCGATTTCTGCCGTGTTTCGCGTTTGACAGCTAACGGAAAGATGCCCGTTGACATTAATCGATTAACGGAAGGTTGGCTAGAGTTAGAAAGCGACCCGGGTACGTTTTTAACTTTGAAATTTGTCTGTCAACCGACAGTCAATAAAAATTTAATGTCTATCCCGTAGCTTAAAAATTATTTTTGCGCTGTAAAATTGTAGCAGACAAAGCTATAACTCTTTTACACACTCACGCAGGCCTGTTCACGCTGCTCTTGGAAGACTTCGGCGTGAAGGGCGTCCAAGTGGAGGAGATCTACGATCTGCAGAAATCTTTAGAAGGCCCAGTCTATGGCTTCATCTTTCTGTTTCGATGGATCGAAGAACGGCGGTCTAGGCGAAAGGTCGTGGAGCAAGATGAGAGCTTTGTCAAGGACGAGGAGATTGTGAACAACATCTTCTTCGCACAGCAGGTCTAACATATAGCTCTTACCGTAGCAGATTTAATATTACATGTATAAAGCATATATTATTTTTGTAACACAATATTATATATAACTATCGCAGGTTGTCCCCAACAGTTGCGCCACTCATGCATTGCTCTCAGTTCTGTTGAATTGCCCGAATATCCATCTAGGCACGACCTTATCCCGGCTGAAGATGCATACCTCCGGCATGTGTCCCGAGAATAAGGGTTGGGCGATCGGCAACACGCCGGAGTTAGCCTGTGCGCACAATTCGCACGCTATGCCCCAGGCGAAGAGACGGCAGGACAAGAACACCGGTGTCTCTACGGGCAGATTCACCGGCGAGGCTTTCCACTTTGTGAGCTATGTACCAATAAATGGCAGGCTTTTCGAGCTGGACGGCCTAAAACCCTATCCAATGGATCACGGACCGTGGAAGGAGCACGAAGAGTGGACGGAGCAATTCAGACGTGTCATAACCGATCGTTTAGGCATGGCGACTGGCGAACAGTTGCAAGACATTAGATTCAATCTCATGGCTGTTGTGCCTGACAGACGTCTTGCTATCTCGTATAAATTAACGATGCTGAAGACCAACAGACAGATAGTCTTGGAGGCTTTGCAGCAATTGATGAAATTGAGCCATCAAGACGGCAGTAACACTGAGAAGAATTCGCATAAAGAGATCAATCCCGATAAAGAGAAACAGTATGAGAAAAGAAACAAGACGGAGGATGAAAATGGATTGCCTACTAAGACGGAGATCGAAGAATCGCCTATAATTCCCACTATCAACGTGGAAAGAAATAATGATTCGACGGTGGTTATGGATGAATCAGTTTCTGGCATCTCATCTGGAAAAACCGAATCCACGTAAATAACAATTGACTTTATTCGTATGACACAATGTTATCTGTAGCTTCACCATAACACTTTAATTGATGAAGTTGAGTTAAATCTCGTAGAATACAGTAGTAGAGAGTATAACAGTTTACAAGCATAATCTTAGTTAATTTTTTTTTCAGTTAGGGAGTCATATGTTCTCTTGTATTACATCTATTTCGTTTATTGATAACTATAAAATTTCATCAGTGTTACAGTTTCGATACAAGCGATTTATGTTTGATTTCAGCGGAATGGAGAAAGTGGTGATGTGCGCTCTGGATTACGCCACGCCATTACGAATTCAGACCTCGCCAGCTCACAGCTCTTCGAGTACAGACACGTCGTCAGAAATTGGATCGGCTTTTAACTCACCCACTCAAGGTAAAAGAAGAAAGAAAGATGGTCGTATTTCATGGCAGTGCGTCGCATAATCGTCTAGTAGTGCACACTTTCTTGTTTTGGCAAAATATTAAGGTGTTCGGACAGGTCATTCGGATGGATTTTATATCTTCGGAATCCGGCGTGCTGTAACAGATGTAGTAATGAGAGTCAGAAGCGGGATCCTTTATCTTACCGAGCTCTTGGCACAATCTCTCCTCCGACGTTTCTTCGCCGTGTGTGACCGTACTTTTGTTTTCGGCACGCTCGATGAATATTTCATTCACCGGAAACCTGTTGCTCGCGCACGTTTTCGTGCTTTCGACGTCGCAGATTCGCGAGTATACGTTAAAAGCCGTGTGCGGCGGGCAGGAGTACTCCACTACGGTGGCCGTTTTTGGCTCGCACGTGTAATACCGGTTACAGTCAGTCCTGTTCGGCAGACGAACGTTCCTCGTGCACGCCACGACGCTAACGGTGCGCGGTGTTAATCGATGCGCCACGGCTTTGTATCGGTCGATCGTGAGATACTGTTTGTACCCGAGATTATCGCTAATCCTTATTATGCTGTTGTCAGAGTCCAGACTGTCGATTAGCAGTTCCAAAGCGTTCTCTGTCGAAACGGTGCTGGCCGTTGTTGTGACGCTGTTCACCTGAGAACCGTTGCTTCCCATCATTTCGGTTGGTTCACCGTTATGTAACTCGTTTCTTTCTGCGTTACTTTGTACAAGATAGTTCAACGTTATGTTCTGCTTACAATTGTGAGACGTTAATATGACGATGGTTTGCGTTGGGTTTACGTTTTTAACGGGTATCGACAGAGAACTCGATATCACAGCTGATAGCTTCTTGTTGATGTGCAACCTATTTATCATTTTGTTCAGCCACTTGTAGTGATTATCTACGACGTCCTTATATTGTTGCGTTAAGGACAACGGTAATTGCTCTTGGCTATTCGTGTACTCGTACATATAATTCTCCTCTTTGTGATACGTTGCGTTTCTCACACTTTTGTCGCTATGCGTCGTTTCATCCGATTCTTCAAATTCGATTAAAGGATACGCGGTCACCGCCTCGGTCGTCGAGTCAGAGAAGTTGTCGATCACGTAGGACGAGTCAATGGTTTCGGAGAATCCCAAAGGATCCTGTGTATACCCCAGATAGCTGGTGTCCGTCGAATCGATCAGTTCGGGCGTTCCGTACTTCTTCGTTGCAGGAGCGCGCTCGGTCGAGAGCGTATCGCATGTCCAAATATCACCCGGAACCACACACATCCGTAAATACGGTTGGAACACCTAAAATCGTATTTCAGAAGTTTGTTAAAGCGACGCTATTTAGAATTACCAGGGTCGAGGGTCGGGAGTGCTTCTGTTTGTCTCATTTGTTAACATCTCACCAAGCCCTCGGTACATTTCGACGGGATCCACACGTAACCACCGCCAGGTAGATTCACGCAATTATAGAAAATTGTGCAGCTCGTTAAATGCGGCTTCTTCGATTCCGGACATCTCGAGGAGCTCACCAGGTAGATCAGGCTGCACGTGAGGAGGACCGATACGAAACGCATCCTGTGCCGCAACTACTACAGACTGCAGTTCGTGGGTCTGCTTCGAGATACTATGTACTTTTCACACATGCATACATACTCCTACATCTTTGCGAGACGTTTCATTTCGCACCTTCTACGTACAGTTACTCGACCCGTTTGTTACGTACTGCCCATCTGCCGGTTACTAATCGCGCAGAATTTTAGAAATGCTTTATACAGAGTAAAAACAGATATTTTAAGAGCATTAGCGGTAACTTCAAGAACCTTGGGCCGCAAAAGAAAGGGAGATTTAGAATGTCTTGATATCTCCAGCTTGGGGATGGAACTCCGGGCAGAGCAGTCCTACATCGACGAAGGACTTCAAGAAATTCGTGGTGATCAGAGTTGCAGGCGACGAAAAGAACGAGGCGGGTCTGAGTAGGTATTAGATTTACATAGTTCGGCAAAACAAATTTATCAGTTACCTAATATCAAAACGTCGCGTTTTTGCAGGCCGTTCTCTGGGAAATATCAATATAAACGGGAAGAGGTTGGTTTCCGACAGCGGCCATTTGCACAAGAAGGTCTGCTTATCGGGCGAAGTCAGAATTCCTCACGCGAGGGTGAAAACTAGCAACGGCGACACAGTCACGGAGGAGAAGAAGGTCGAGAAAATCGATCCCAAGCTGTGCTCCAAGTATCCGGAATTGTTCGAGCCGCATACATTCGCGCCTAAGGACCTTCTGGCGTTGCTGAAAAATTTGGAGCACGAGATCAGCGTGTGCGAGACCAGCCTGAAGGATGAGAACGACAAGAGAAACAAGTATAAGGTCGGTTTTACGCGTATCATGAAGCGCTTACTATTTTTAATTGACAAAAGTTGCAGCTGACAGTCACGATATTTCATCCATTCCTCGCGATTATAGGTCACAATTTATGTCGGTAATTAACTGGTAATATTATCGAGCAGTTTTAATCTCAAGGAGTTATAGGAATCGTCCGAATTTTTCAGATCGACGATTGCCGGAGAACGCATAATTATGACGAATTCATTTGCACTTTCCTCTCGATGCTCGCTCAGCAGGGAAAACTGGCGGAGTTGGTCCAGCAACATCTAACATTAAAGAAGCATTCTTCCGTTTCAGTGAATAGGGTTCACAGGTGCGTTTTCGCTTTAATTGATCGATATTCGATTACTTGGAATTCTCACGAAGTTGATTGATGTAGTAACCGTTGAGTTGATCTGTTAAGTTAATTTGTTAAGTTAACTGCTTTTCTGAACTTGAACTTCGATATATTTTCAGGTCATCGAAAAAGTCCGACACCCGTCAAAACTCCTCGCGCAGACGCCGTGGTAGAACAAAATGTAAAAAACGAAAGTAATCTCTAACTAACGTAAATTTAAGGCTTAGGGCATCGTTCTGTCTGTTTGGAACTATTTGAATTGTTTATAATGGATACGCATGCTGTGAAAACTACTTGATAATTTTACAAAAATCACATAAAGAAAAAGAAACATACATTAGAGGATAAATCTAGAGTCCGAAACAAGTGTCATACAAACGTAGGCTGTTTATTCTCCAAATCATAATAAATTAAAATAGTCGAAATGTTCACCTGGCTATTCACGTGACATTTTTGTCTTCTTTTTCAGTTTCAAATTTACTCTATAGTATTGACGTTAAGAATCGTTCTATATGGTTTGTAAATATTATCCTTTCAAAATCATTGACTTATTAACCCTTAAATGCCACCCGGGGTCCAGCGGACCCCAGACCCTTTACAATGATATATTTTCAAATGTTTCCCCCCAAAAATGGAGCCCATGTTCCCATTGATGATAGTTGAGCATAGTTGAGTGATTGACCTACCCGGTTGTACACTTAGCAGTACTCAGTTTACTTAATTTTTTATACTATGTTGAAATTGAAATTTTAACAATATAAGCATTTTATTCTCTTTTCTAAGCCTTGAACAACATTGAAAATAATTTTCATAATTAAATATAAAAAAATCAATGAGTAAGGAGACATTTTTCATGCTGGGGTCTTTTAGACCCCATGTGTCATTTACGAGATTCTTGAGAGGTGTGGCATTTAAGGGTTAAGAAAAATTGTGTACTTGGAAATATACAGCAATATTATTAGGCTACTAAGATCCAACTCGGACTGTAAATAGCATTGACTTATTATATATATATATTATAGCCCGATATTTCTGGTTTTTTAGCGTAATGCAAGTACTTTTTAGACTAGAAATCGTAGGACTGATTTCGGCTCGGATGCTATCATTGAGTAGACATTACGTCTTACACTGTACAGACTACTTTACGATGTATACATATATATTTTTTATATTCTTTGTATAATCACACGCGTGATATTTAATTGTCCAAAGTAGATATTTATGCTTATTGTAGTCCCGCTTATTTTTCAAAGGTACTCTGTTCAAAGGGTCTCTCTTTTCTGAATTATATTTCATATGAAATATATAACTTATTGAAAGCGTAATGCGATGTTTCTTCTTCCTTGCCGAATTGTTGAAAAAGAGGAGCAGGAAAGAGTGCGCTAGGATATCAAAAAACTAGGGAGAGGGGCTTTGTGTCAAAAACATTGGAAATATTTATTTATCGATATTCATATACAAGTACACTACACGCGCTGTGGATATGTCCCTTAGAGTCTAAATACTTACATCTCCGAGCAGCCGGAGAAAGGAGAACCAAGCTTATTCGATTGGTTGGAATTACGGTTGATTTTCTTTAATCGTAAATCGGACGACGGGTCATCGATCCTCGCCTCTAAGTCGCTTTACCGTTAGTATAGTGCATAGGAACTGTAGTCGAAACGCGCGCGAACGATTTCGCAGGGCACAATTGAGGGGAAGGTGGAAGCGGGAAGAAGGAGCAGGGCAGAAAGGGGGTAAGAGTGTCGTTCCTTCTCCGGCCGACGTTCCGGCGGTCCTCGTAACTGCTTTTTGGCAAAAAAGGTGCGATTGTATATGTACAATTTGTAACGTGTCGGCTCTCTCGCGATCGCGTTATCGTGATCGTTCGAGGCGAACGAGGCAAATAGTGCGCGAGTAATCGGGATATGTGTGTGTGTGTGTGTGTGTGTGTGTGTGTGTATGTACATATGTATGTATGTATGTTTATTTATTGTATACCTGAGTTTATGTAGAGTGTATTAAATCCGGAATCGCGTTAAGACCTCGTCGTCGACGTTGATCGCGAAACTCGCGGTCGCTCGTTAGTTAACAATAGAAGACAACGTATTTACACGGTGCAGCATCTTCGTTCATCTCGGCGACCACCGGAGGCCGGCGGCCGCAGCGAGAAACGCATATGACTTCGTCGTTACAACAGGCACTCTCGGTATCTTACAGCGACGCGACTGCGAAACGCGGCGGTGTTGCTGGCGAACACGTCGTTCTTCGACAGCGTGTCGGAGCTCGGCGACAACGACTCGAAACGTTTTATTGCTATATTTACGTTGCTATTGAGACGCGTTGATTAACGTTTGCGTTCTGTCCGCTCGGTCAGGCAACCATCAGAAAAGTTAAAAATTCGGCGGTAGTCGAGACCCCTCGCGCAATACCGTCGCTGACCGCGGTATTTACAAGCATACCGTACAAAATATGGAACATTCACGCCGGGGGAGGGGAGTAACATAAAAAAATACGGGGGCAAGAGGAATAAAGACGAGATCCTGTCCGCGAGAGACGCGACGGATTGCCTCGCGAGAGGGTACACCCGAAACACCGCCGCCTGCAGCGATTCCAACGCTCCAATTTCCTCGTCGTCGTCGTCGCCGCACGCCCCGCCCGCCCCGCCGTAATAACATAGGCGATTAGTGTACAATAAATAGAGATGCCTTCTCGCTATTTACGGTTGCTCCCGGGTTCACGTCGATTCGCGTCTCTATCGCTCTTAGCGTTATCACATGTGGTAAGAAACGAATGGTTGATCGAGCGGGGACAATGATCAGCAAAGTACATCGACGCCGGTCCTCTCTCCACGTCACCGACTTCGATCGCTCCATCATCGTCGGATAAATATTCCTCGTTTTCCTTCCTTTCGCACCTTCGAGAAAAATCACACTTTGGTTCCGCGCCGATAACGCGATTTCGATGTCTCGGCCGGTCTTATTGTTACAATATAACGTAATCTCTCGCACCTTCGAATCGGCAACGGCACAATCAAGCACTGCACGTGCGTTACAGCTCGTTTCAATGATATCGAAAAATACATAAATTTGACAAATATATATATATATAATATGCATATAATATATATATATTTCTTGCAAGTATATGCTATGTAAATATATATTACATACACCTATAGGCTCGCTTAATACTTCAATACGCGCTAAATTTCCGCCTTCCGAGAGGACTTTCCGCGGCGATTGTACATACATCAAAGTTAGCGTTTCTCGTCCGGCGTTTTGTAACACAGATGCACTTTCGTTTCTTTCTTTATACATGTACATATATACAGACACTCGCCACGACCGTAGGATGGATTCGATAGCAAAAGTATAAAAAAAAGGAGACAACGGACAGTCGCGCAAAAGTCGTGAGAAAATTTGGCATGAGTGCTGAGGAGACGTTGCCTCGCGATTCTTTCCCCTTCCCGCAATCTAGTCCGGATTAACCAGCCAGTGATTCGGACCTGGGAAACGTTCGAGGGAACGAAGAAGAACAAAAGGAAAAGGGATCCGAGAAACTCGCGGAGCTTCGTCCAAGTTTCGGTGTGGGATTTCGAGAGATGCGACGGAAGAGGCAATAAATAAAGAAGCGAATTCGTAACGAATGTACCAGCGAACCGAATTTCCAAAGTTTCGAGCAAAGTAGATATCGCTTCCGAAAGTTTTCGATAATTAACAACGATCGTGCAGGTATATAAGATTAACGAAGGCGAATAAATTAAGTGACTCGAGGGCGCGAATTAAAGCTACGCCTCGAAGCTCCACTGCGCGAGATCGTCACGTGATCGCGAATAGGAAAAAAAAGTGACGATGATAATGACAATGACGCGAAGAAGAAAAAAAGAAGAGAAGGAAGAAGTAATCCCTGTTTCGTACACGGGAATGAATCGTATTATGGATATCCGATGGTAGTGAGATAGCCGGTTGCGCGACCAATCATCAATCGGGGGAGTAACTCGCGTGTAATATATAATGCTCCATTTAATACAGATCGCGGTGCTTCGTTCACCTGATCGCGCCGATTATACTGCAAATCTAAGTTATTTTTACGCGTATAAACGTTTAAAAATGACACATTTGACTGAAGCTCCTTTCGCGTGTTTCTTACGTGTTAAATTACGTCATTTAACACGTTTAATTTAAAACGGTGAGAAATGTTTGAGAAGAGCTCCAGCGAAAATAACACTTGGATTTGCAGTGTACGCTCGGCCCGACTCGCCGCGACACGTTTACCCGAATCGACAAAGCTCTGTAGTAACGATAATGGTAATAATAGAAGAACGATTAGCCTACGGGAGTTTTACAACGTAACTTACAGCACTACAAGGTATCGCATTCGGCTCTTAACTCCTAACTCCACTTCGCTTCGGGACCAAGAGTGGAGAACGCCTTTAACCCTTCGACCGGTAGCCGTCGAATCCATCGGAGGGGGGATTCGTTTCCAAAACGGCGCAAACTGATATCTCTCGCGTATCACAATAAGTTATAAGTTTTATCGAAGAGGAAGCCTCGCGTTCCGGGGAGGTATAGTCTACGGGTTGAAGGATTAAAGTTTTTTTTTCGTTATCGATGACTCTCGTGCAACAAGCAGATCGATAGCAATCGGTAATCGCGAATTACTCGCGAGAGACTCACGAGTATTCTATTCTTATTTCATATATCGGCGAATCGCGGGACGAACAAACGGCTGCTACACGTCTGCTGCCGTTGCACCGGTGCACGCGAGAACTCTTTGCGCGCTCTTCATCCTTTAAATAAACACGAATTTTATTTTACAAAATCCTTTACGATCGATCGCGTACACGACGATCAGCTCGGCGCAACGATCTAAGGATTCGTCGTTCTTCCCACGCGTCCTCCAGACGACGTCTCCATGTCCAATTTCCAAGGACCCCGACATCCGGCCGAGGGGAGGAGGACTCGCAGTGACCCGCAAAGGAAGGGAGACCGTGTCCTTCACGGTCCGTTGACCGTGGCGACGGAGTGACCCGTCACCAGGCTGTCCGCCGCCGCGGCCGCCGCCGCTGCCGCTGCCGCGACGGGTTTCCCAAGGCGGAATATCGATTGCAGGGACGCGACCTCAGACGCGAGACGATCCAGCTTCATCTTCACCTCCCGATCGCTCTCCGTGACCGCGGTGACGGTCGGACCGGTCCACTCGGCGCCTAACGAGATGCCGGAGTCGCGCTCGTCGCTGGAACCCTCGTCCCAGGGCGGCGACGCTCGCGGTCCCGGCTCCTGCTTGATTCCCTGAAGCGCGAGAAGCGCGCTCGCGGCGTCCTTGTCGCCGATGCGCGACTTGTGCCTGAGCTTGTGAGGCAGACTGTTGTTGACGGCCGGGTTGTTCTGGGAGCCCACGATTATCTGGGGACCGGCCTCGTCGCCGCTGCCCGACGACAGCTCGAACGGCGATTGCGCCCGGCGGCCGCGCGACGACAGGTTTAGCGCGCTCGTGGTGTCCAGGTGGTGCATCGCCGGGTGCGAGTACGGGTACTGGAAGCTCTCGGTCTCCGGGTAAGCGGTCGTTTCGGGCACGTAGAGCTGGGCCGGCGATCTGGGCGAACGGGCGCCGCTCACCGGCTGATGGATCACCGACGTGTGCACTGGGCTCGGCGTGCGCGCGTAGAGAAGCGCCGCCGAAGGCGGTATCTTCGCGCGTTTCACGCTGATCGGGGGTTCCGTCGGCAGCGCGGCCAGCACGTGTTCCGTGTTGATGACAGACTCGCCGCAGATGCCGAACTTATCGCGTATCGCCTCGAGCTGCGCCTTGAGAATGTGATTCTCCTTGCTGAGCTCCATCACCCGTTGCTCCAGGACCATGTCGTTGAAGCGACGCTTCTCGCGCGACCGCTTGGCGGCCTCGTTGTTGCGCCTGCGACGGTCCCAGTAGCTGTCGTCCTTCTTATTGTCCGGGATGAACTCGCGTTGTTTGCGCTGCGAGAACAGCTCCTTTCGTATGTCGAAGTTGGGTGAGAAGTTATCGGGATGCTGCGGCGCACCATCGTGATGATGTTGCTGTTGCTGTTGCTGCTGCTGCGGCTGCGGCTGCGGCTGCTGGGCCTGATGATGGTGATGAAGATGCGGCGGTTGAGGCTGCTGCTGCTGCTGTTGTTGCGGCGACAGTTGCTGCTGCGGTTGATGCTGATGCTGCTGCTGAATCGCGGCCGGCGGTCCGCCGTGATGGCCGGGATGCGTGAGAGGCACCGTGAGAGGTCCATGGGCATCGTGGGGCCCGCCGTGGGGCGCGCCGTGACCGCCGCTATGGGCCATTGTGTGCGTGGCCGGCATGTTGCTGTTCAGACACGCGGTCTCACCATTGATGGGCGATCCACTCTGGCGGGCGACAAACTCTGCCACCATAATTTGTCTTCTTAGTACATCTGGAACGGAAAAGGGGCAATCGGTCAGTTAATCGAGGCGAAATGGAGATATCATCGCACGATTTTTTACTCGTGGGTCAATTCGCGTGCGCGGCGAACAGCAGCGATGACGAAACTCGCGTTGCGTTCCAGACGGCGCGCGGCGATAATACATACGTCAGAGAGAGAGAGAGAAAGAAAGGAATGGCTGACAATCAGGCTACCGCGATCAGTATCGTTGTGCGTGTCAAGTGATTATAGAGTCTAATTATAGAGATACTTATATAATCTTGAAAGCTTATTATCAAACTGTATTGGATCTAGGTTTTGAAAAATGGAAATTATAAAGTTCTTCAGAAACTTTTCTTCTAAGAATATAATCTCCATCCAGCTTTTCGATTTGGAAATAACCTTCTTTCGATGCAGAAGGAAAATTATTATTCATCAAATCTATTTTCTTTTTAATCTTTTTAATGATACGTTTCAATGCGACAAAGACAACTGATTTATGCGGCTGTTTCTGACGTCAAAGCGCGGGAGAGAACAGCCAGAGATAAAAGAATTTTGAGAGATCGAGAGACTCGCGCTCGCCCTGCCAACGGGCGCACCTCTCTCGTCTGAAGTTGCAAAATAGCCTTGAGTAAGGGTCACGTTCGCCAAGGTCGAAGGTGCCAGTGAACCCGGCCGGTGAACGTTCGTTTCACCTCTGCCGATTAAAAAAAAAAGATACGTTGTCATTTCGCGACTTCTTACGCAACAATCGACATTCCACAAGAACGGGCCTCCTTGATCTTTTCGATCCGCGACGATTTTACGAGAAGAGATTGAAGAATCGCGGTGAACTTGAATTACGACGGATCTTTTTCGGACAATCGACCAATTAGCGGCGGCTTCTTCGAGATAACATTCTGCAATTTTGATCACGGAGATACCGTTTCGGACAACCGTGACGCAAGCTTGTATAATTGGATTGTCCCCAAATCGATTATCGGTTCACGATTAAGCGCCACGAGGCGGGAACGAGCGCGTCTACTCCTCGCGCGTTTATTTTTAACCCGCGATCACGGATGAAAATACTCCACCGGCATCGCCTTCGTATACGTACGTAAGCCTTAATCCGAGCAGCGGATGCGCGGAGCGGTTATGCAATCGCGCGCACGTGCGTTCACCGCGCCGATCCACGTGTTCTGGATGTCGAACGGTCGCGCAGTCGCGTCGTCTCGCAATAAATAACGGCGGAAAACACACGTTTGCTTGACCTACGATATTTATTTGTCAATATTGCAATATTGTACAAGTCTCGATGCGGCTTGAGGCCATTAACGATAACGTACTAATTATGCCCGCGAAGATGCACAAGAAAGACATCTTATTTCCCGTGTATTTTTCCTCCTTCTCTCTCTCTTTTTCGGATCAATCGTCGTCGATCACTTTGCGACAAGCTAATCATCGATATAAGTCATATGATTTGTGGCCTAAAAAATCCACTCTGAGATGAGATAAGTATCGTTACGTAAATTGGCGTGCTCCATATGTGAGAATATTTTAATCGTAATAGGCACGGCGTTGTGTGTCGACCGCATCGCTTATCGTCGCCGCGTCGCTACGATAATCGTGCACGAACTCGACCTCGTAAAAATCCCGACGATCCTAGGCACTGAATTTCGTCCGAAAGTCTGTACGGCGATTTCACAACTAACTGTCCATCAACGAAAAAAACTAAACATGAAGTGAGATTATCTTCATTTATGTCGGTTTTTACCAATGTAGATTAATAATCTTTTTCTAATTTTTAGAGCTAGAAAATGATAAAAAGTAAATTAAACCGAGATTAAATCTAATCTACATTGATAGAAATGGACATTAATCATCTTTAGGAAAAAAAAACTTGTACGCGGTGAGTAGAAAATTTTATCTTTTCCACTTTCTTTACGTCACTGATTGGACGGAATATTTTATAAAAAACAGATCTCTCAATCGGACAGTTCTCTATTCGCTTCCTGATTCTCTTTATACTGGATTTCTGTTCAGAGACATACTCGTTACGCTATCAAATCATAGTCGACGCAGGAAGTAAGATCTTGGCAGTAAAACCCCCGCTCGTGCGCAGTTACGCAACTATTGATGAACTTTAGCTCCCGCGGCAATATAAATGATAAAGCGTGTTTCGCGCGCGACGGATGTAACGACGCACGTTATGTAAGCCGCTAGCTAGCGGCGCTTATTTCCGCGGAAGTGTACGTTACGCGTTCGTCGTAAGACGCATGTGGCGCGTTAATGAGAGTCGAGTCTCCGTTGCTGCGAAAGGCTTGCTCCGCAGACTCGTTGGTGCTCGCGGCGGATTCGTCAAAGCAAACTGTTCAGTGTTCAGTCGCGTTTGTTCGCGCTCGTTTGCCTGGTCTGGATCCAGTCAAAAACATCGCGCATTCGATATGACGTTTAACTCATTACGAGATAGAAGTCCTTTCAATCTTGCGACACACAAGCACGAGACCGGTAAAGTTGAGACCAGATTAAAGAGTGCGAACGAAGGAATGAATTTGCATGGATGGCAAGTACAAACGAGTCTAAATTTATATTGACGAAAGCATTTCTTCTCTTGCCTAAAAGAAAGAGCTCGTTCGTTCGCGTTCGTTCGCGCTCGTTCGGCCTGAACCCGTTTTTACCGAGACAAATAGAGACAAATGGAGAAAATAACCGCAAACAAACGATCCGGCAGTACCGCGAGCCCGACGGGTTTACTGACACGAGGAGTACCTCTCTCGATCGCAGACTGTACACCAAAACGAAAAACCATCTCGAAGTATACTCTTATGACGACGCAGCGAAGATTTCTAGGATCCTGATATGGAAATCAGACGACTCACACCGGCGTGACGCGCACGCTCGTTATTTAATATGGCGTTACGCAACTCGCCGTCGTCTGTTTTTTTTTTCAGAAGTTCGGGAGTGACTCATTAATTCTACGACTCTCTCGCGCTCAACTGGGTCGAATAATTCGTGTTCGCGTGACACAAGGAAGAGCGGCGCGTCAACACCGCGTTATGCGTCACGTCGCAGGGAAATAGAATAGTTAAGGAAGTAAATCACAGAATCTTCGCGATGACGATGTATCACCCGTTTCTTGCAAAGCGAGTCGTTCCGATAACCGTATTATTTTTGGCGGAGTCGACTCCGCGATTACTTCGCTCGCGTTCGCAGGATCGTTTGAAGGATGCAATCTCTGGAGGTCTGTTCTCTTGGCGAGCCGGATTGCCGGCGCATTACAACACCGATTCCGACCGACTTTGAAAGTCGAGGTGGTCGGTCGGTCGGTTTCCTCGATATATCAAAGCGCGCGACACAGAGCAATGAATTATCGGGACACGAAACGCCGTCGAAAATTGAGCAATCTCCTGGAATTCAAGCCGCCCAATTACGTACGACGAGTTTCGCGTGACTCACGTTATCCTTCTTCGATCCGACCTGTCGATTTTTCCGCGTCGCGCCGCGAAAGCCGCCCACGCAAGTCACGAGGCTCGTTAGAATGAAACCGATCATCCAGTGTCAAAACAATTATAATTCCAACATCCACTGTGCACCAATTAAAAAAAAATTGACCGAATATAACAGAGAGAGAATTTCGAGTTGCTCTTCTTTACCGAGGAAAAATTGTCTCTAAGTATCAATTGGGAAAGAATCATAGATTTGAGAATGCGTGCAACGTACGCTCCGCTCGTTGATATCGCAACTTTGCGAAATCCCGATGGACGTGCTCCAAGAGAACTCGCGATTTCCGCCCACGGCGGACGACCTCCCGCGACACGACGTTCTCTTCTGCGTTTTGAAATTAGCTCGAAATTATTTCGGTGACTCGTAAATTGCTCTATAATCTCGCAGGCGCGATCTATTTCGAAGCGCGCGACGATTCACGCGCGGATTTCGGGTTGATATTGTCGCGTGCGCGCGCTCGACCACGCGGCACTTCCCACTCGAGTCGAAAGTCTTCGCGAGGGAGAAACGCCGATTCCGCCGAAGCGGCGTGTTTACTCGCATCGACGTGTCTAATTAAGCGCGTAAACAACGTTGTTGATCGTCGAGATGGTTGCGACGCGCGCGTAAAGCACCGCGCCGCGTTTAACGTCGTTCGGCTAATATAATTCCGACGCAGATCGCGCAAACAACCGCGGCCGCTATAGGTCGCATTTCGCGTCGCACTCGCGCCGTGACGCACACGGACGGCGGAAACGCCGCGTTGCGTCGCGCCGCGTGACGTACGCCACGTGTTACGGCTGGGGAATCACGTTCCGTTCTTCCGCTTACGACGGAGGCAAAATAATCGGCGAATTCGCGCGCGATCTAGGAAGAAAGATCACATATCGCGAGGTTCCTTTCCGTCCTTCTCGCGTTCGAACAGCGCGGCAGCGTCGCGTATTAACTTTTACTGGACGGAAGTGATTTTGAACAAATAGACCGCAGGTTCGCACAAATACGATGTTTATCTTATCTGCTAACGAAATAATTCTTCAGTCGAGAAGAAGCAGTGACATCACTTATCAAATTTAAAACGGCAATAAAGAATAGACGCGATGATAAACACTCCTAACGTCATTCCTCCCGCTCTCTATCGTTTTTTCTTTCTCTCACTCATCGTGATCCATGATCCCACGATTATGAAACAATTGCGTCACGCACAAATTAATGAAGACGTACGTAAAGGCGCGTTCTGGTATTCAAATCGGGGTACGAGGCCTTTAGATAGATCGACGTGACGTCAACATGCAAATGTTGCTCTGTTATTTTTATCGGCTAATGCAGATGCCTTCCGCGGAAATGGAATGCTTATGAAATTCTAACGTGTGGAAACTAAATGGAAACATTACGCAATCTCATCGATCGCTTTCGTATATATTCCAAGCGGTGCATCACCGCTTAATTAATCGGCCGATTCTAGATTCCGTATATAATAATAAGGTTCGCATGCACCTACATGTAGACCTCTCTCTCACACTCTGTCTCATCTTTCGCTCGCGCGAACGCTGCAAGGGCAGATACGTGACGTAGGTCAATAGGCGAGGCGACGATTTCGTGCATTTTCCGCGAGGACGAGGCGTCATCGGCAACGAGAAACGAGGCTGAATCACGTAAACGGCGTCGCTTTTCTCGCAATCGGTTTCGCCGAATCATCGCTACCGGCCAACGTATCGTTACGCGTGCATATCGTAGGTGGGTGCACCCACGGGTTTTCCGTCGAAACGTCACCAGACGCCGTTGCGCAATCTCATAACTCCGCCGCGTCGCGTACCGTTTACTGCTCCACTCGATCTCCTAATCGAAAAATCATCGTGACGCTACGTCGCGCGCTCTCGGTGACTTGGCTCGATATAATTTAATGATGTGCTCACTGAATCGCGCGCCGGTCCACGGTCGACGTGTGTTAAGGTAAATGTATCAATGCTGGGACACTTAAAATCTAACCTTTATTATCTTTGATTCTTTGATTTTAATTCGCATTATAACTTATTTAGGGACTAAAATGATAAAAATGTCCGGATATAGATACGTGTCCAAGCATTGGTACATTTAGGTACCTTACTCTTCGTGACGCAAAAACTTTTCGAGACATTAGACGACGCAATAATATTCCCGAGATACCATACTATCTTTAGGTTTACCGATTGACGTTATCTGCGTGTTTTTCTCGCTCTACCTTGATCTCTATCGTAGTTTCGGGAACCAGAAGGCCGCTGAAATTCGTCAAGCGAGATCGAAAGTCTCGAGGAAATTAGATCAGATCGGGGTCACTCACGATCATTTCACGAATCACGCGCTATTAATATTTATTTGTTGTTGTCGTCGTTTGTTGTTAGCACAGCAGGAGAAACGTCGCGGCCAACTGCGCGTTCCTCTGATGGTAATTCCTCCGAGCCACGTGTCTCCCCGCGGTATCTCTCTCCCCCCCCGTCGTCACTATCAATCGACATTTCCGAGGAAATCTTATCTCCCCTCCCCCTTCTCCCGCCGGTATCACCTAATTTTCCGGGAATGGCCGGGCCGGGCCGGGAAAGGAGATGGGAAAAATAGCGGGAGGGAGATAGAACGCGTTGTTCGTATAACGCGGGCACGTGTTCCGTCCGCGCGTTGCGCAATGCGGCGGCCCCGCACGTGGCCCGCTGCTGCGTGCATCATGGCACGGTACAAGCGTCGCATTTGCGTCTCGACGCGACTCGCGCTCTCTTTCCGGGAACGTGCCGATGCGCGGAAAATGCGCCCCGGGGATTAATGCGTAGCACGAAATCGTAGCGCGTTCTGCGCTTTCCGCGGAGCCGTTTGGCGCCGTTTCTCCGAGAATGCGGCGTACTTTCCGCATTGCGACGTCGATTTAAGAAAAGAATCTCGACGCAGTTGTGCAATTATTATATATTTACTATATTATAATATTCGCACGCGCGCACACAAATATATATAAACACAGCAAATATATTTATAAAATAGCAAAAAAATTATACATATAATATAAATATGAAAATGGAATATTGTCGTTTGACGACGTTGTAACCGCGGAAACAACGCTTGCGACAAGGTTTGCGACGTTCATAAACAACGCTTACGAAATCGGTATCATAGTTTAGAATACGAAATAATTAGCGACGTATTACGTTGCTCGATGAGTAATTAGCATGATATCACGCCGTATCTCGATTAACTCATCCGTTGACCCGGTGCCAGCGTTTATTTTTTTCTCCTGACGCGTTCGTTCGAAGAAGCGGCTTATACAATGTGCATACGCGACGTATTCTCACCCGTGTGGGCTCCCCGTGTGTATATCTTCCCGGAAATTTATTTACATTATTTCCCGGCCGCGGCCGGCCGACCGCCGGAAAATCTCGCGACGGGACGGAAGTCTAAAATTATATTATTATATCTAGGAGAGAGAATAACACTCTCCTGACTACGATCACAAACGATCCTACGGATCTGCAATAATAAAGCTCGGCGGAATTATACGATAATCTCGGAGTAAGCGCGAGATGTAAAAAATTTTAACTAAATCGATAACGAGGCGGCGGATAGAATACGTATAATAATAATAATAATAATAATAATAATAATAATAATATTAATAATAATAATAATATATAATAAATAACTCGGGCACGTTTGTCTGTGCGTGACGATCTTGGGGAGCACGACCGCCGGATATTATTACTTTGCGGAACGTGCGTTTCAGAAAAACCGCTGAATAGGATGCGCGCGAACGCCCCGAAAATAGTCCGGGTACGACGAACTTAAGCGCGCGCTCGCGCGCGCGCGCTAGTACACATAAAGGCATGTGCACAATGCCGGGCCACCCGACACCCGACCGCGCTTTGACCGTGGTAGCGACGTGTTACGATTGCGGTCAGCGCTCACGTAACAGCGAGCACTGATACCGTTATCGGCCTCCGCCGAGGCATTTCGAACCGGTCTCCGATTTCGTTTCCCGCTCATTATGCAACCGGACCGCGATAACGCGTCGCTCCGATCATCAACGGAACGAGAAAGGAAAATTTTACGACGCGCGCGCGACCCGATTGCATCGCGAGATCGCAGATTAAATCCCCGAGGGGGGAAAGAGGGGAGGGGAGATCGCGGATCTCGAGGAAGATCGTAATCGCGCGCGTGTCCAAGGCTCCTAGAGCACTCCAGTGCTCGATAAGAAGTTCCGGAAAAACGAGAAGTCGGGAATCAGCGCCAGATTGATCGGCGACACCCAGTATAGTCGCATTATAGTCGCGTAACAGAGGCACGCTTTGTCGTTACATAATCGTGCGTCACGCGGCCCGGCCGGCTTGATACGATTCGATGCGGGAGGGGAAGGGGAAAGGCCAGGCAAAAGCGAAGACCGAATTACATGAGACGAGTGCATGTGTGGTGGCTCCTACACATTTTAGGCCGCCGGACGCACCGCCCCGCTTCGTAATTATCGCGGCTACAGGGGGGGAGAGCAAGGAGTCTCCACGGAATCTTAATTCACCCTCGTTTTTCGAGACATCGCGTACCAATCGCACGCGTTCGCGTTTTCAATAGTTTTCATCACGTTTATTATTTCGCGGTGATTCGTTCTCCGGGATGTTTACCGGTTTCGATCGCGTTTGTCGCACAATGTCGCACGTTCACGTTCCGGCGGGCTCGCGATCCACGTGAGATCCGCGGCGTTTCTTACGACGCGCCCCGACCTTCCCGCTACACGTGACACGGGCGGGTAACGAGCGAGGCCTTTGCGCTAAGCGTTTATCCGCGTTACATAATATACGCATGTGATGACAACATCGTGACACGATCGACGTTCCCCTTTTTTTTTCCCGGTGAGCTCCGAACAAAGCGACCGATTTGTTTATCCTGTTGTTCCGAAAATTATGATTCTAGTGACATGTGGTGTAGCGCGTATTCGTGCATATACACGGCATTCTATTATAAATAATGATTACAAAATTGCAATGCATTCTCTTTTAAAATTTTTACCTTAAAAGATAAAAGTCTAAGAAATACGGTACTTGAATTTCTTTAATCGACGAGCAGTCAATAAAAATGTACCGCAATTTGATTTAGGTAGCCACATAAATCGTGCGGCCTTCTGGCGCGCAACTCGATTCTTTGGGCGGTGTGAAAGTCGCTTAAGAAATAACGCGGTGCGTGATGCAACTGTTAGCACATAACGCGCAAACGCTCGCGCAATTCGCGCGAGTCGGTTTGCCTTGTGTTGTTGCGACCGTCCCGTCCCGTCCCGTCCCGTCCGCCACGTGACTGCAACACGTGCAGGCTGTTATGTTAGACCATTCACCTTCGTTGCATAATACGAGCGGGAAAAGGTCATCGCGGCGAACAACGGAGTCTGATATTTGCTAATATGATCGATAAACCGGCCGCCCCGCCGCTGCCGCTGCCGTAGTCGCAGCTGCTTCTGAACCGCGATCGTCGCGGAATTTGATCGCTCGATTCCGCGACGTGAGAGGCAAAGCCTCCTCGAATTAGCGCTCGTGACGCAATTCCTGCCGCGGTAATACGGTCGTTGAAACATTGATATCCACGATATTTTCGTCGACTGGCGCTATTTCTTCGCGTTTACCTACGAAGTTTAACAAGAATTGGAAATGAGCTCGTCCCGAATAGCGATTTGCCGTCGATATCGTTTAAATAAGAAATAGAGCGACGCAAACATTTACAAGACGCTCACCGTTGTCTCTCTCCTTCCTTCTCTGTTAATTTACATGATGGTGATCGATGAACGGCCGATGACGCAACGTTTAATCCACAATGTCCGAGACGCGACGACACGTATATATACGCCTAGATATCGCCGGTATATCCGGCCGCGCGTACGCCATACACACACACACACACATTAACGTGCACGGATGAGAGAACCGTAACTAGCAGTAGCTGCACTTGCGACCGCTCGCAAGTTGCAACGTAACACCTGCGACTACGTGCATTTCCGCGCAACGCAGATACCGCTAATCCGCTCTCTGACGCGACCGCAAACACCCCGCCGGACAATATCCGTATCGATCGGCAGATAACTCGATCTCTTTCGCGGAAACCTCCGGCGCGACCGCGGCGCGACCGGCGCAAATTGCGATCGCACGCGATCGAGTCGAAACCGAGTCGAGTCCGGCCCCGCAAGTGCCGACCCCGATTTTCTCTCTATTGTCGAATAAATGCACCGTCATCCGAAGGCTCAATGTAATTTACCCGTTACTTACTTCGGCGTACGCGACACGTTATCGGCAGCTGTATGTATGTATACGAAAAAAAAGAATATTCTTAATTTGAAAATATTTTTAGTTTCGACGTGGAAATCTTTTAAAGTGAGATTAAATTACGTTATATGAAAAAAATCTGTTTAAATGAAGTCATCGGTAGCTGTACACAAAAAAAATACATATTTTAGATTTAAAAATATCTTTAGTTTCAACATAGGAATCTTGAAACAAGATTATAATATACTGCAAAAAAACTTGCTTGAATGAAGTCATTTCGTGTAATTTAATAACCAAAAAAAAAAGTTGAAATTCTTATATAAGAAGATTATAGGTTGTTGCGTATCTACGAAACAATGAATGTGTTAATTCGACGTAATAACGATTTGACACTTTTTTTCTGCGCATAACTTATTTACTCATTTATCTATCTAATTGCTGGAATATCCGGTAGTTATATTATTACAGAATGACTCGGCCACACATCTTTCGTCTCTCTCTCTCTCCTCTCACCAGCGTCCGATTTCTCGGTTTTTCTGCAACTTGATGGATTTGAGGATTTTCCGCGGATCAGTCACGTCTAATTCTAAGCGATATGCCGCGAACGTGCACGTGCGTGCCCTTCGGGCCGGAGTCCGTGAAGTTTATTGCACGGACGGTTTACGCTACGAGGTTGAGAGAGCTCCGTAAATTGGGCCGTGGCCCACTTTGATAGAGAGCCATAGCGGCACGCGGTGGGCGAGGTGGGAGGAGAGATGGATGGGGAAGGGGAGTCGGAGTGTAATGAGAGAAGGAGGGAGAGAAAGAGGGGAGGTTCCCGTTTCGCGAGATGATCTTGCGATCGATGGATCACTCCTCGTAGCTGTCGCGGCCACGTGGAAAGACTTAACGAGATTGATCGTCGCGTAACTTCACAGCAAAGACCGAGGAAACGTTATCAACCGTATCTCGATTCCGCAATGTGTCTCAATTAATCAAATCCGCGGGATCGGCTAATTTTAAATTATAATCGGCCGTTAAGAGGCGAGAAAAAGAAAAAGAGAGAGAGAGAGGGAGAGAGAGCTTACGTACGACGAGAATATCGATTCTTCTCACGTAACCGAGCGCGAGCGACGCGAGCGGCGATGGCGGCGGAGTCGAAAGGGTAAAAATAAAATCCGACCTTGATCCTTGATCGCGATGCATTTCGCAAACGCACTCGGTACCGCGAAGGCGTTCTCCATCGCCTCCAGTTTCGCACAGAACCGAAACCGTGAAGCGAAAATTTCAGTCCCCCCCCCCTTTTTATTTCTCTCCGCTATCGCGGGCCCTCGCGAACGCGGGGAGGGATGACGCAACGCGACGAACAACGACGCGTCGTGTTGCACGCACTTTCGTAAGTCGCGGCGAAGCGAAGACGCTTTATCCTCGTAAACGGCCGCGCGTGACGTCACCGCGTCGGCCGTGTATTAATTGCATTTTCTCGAAACTGTGCCTTTATCTACCACCTGCGTTATTCGAGAGTCCGCGTGATTCAGCCGCGCGAATATCGCGACGATAAGATATGCACCGGACAATGGATGCACCCGGGACGATCACGTTCACGAATGTTATCGCCGAGCGCGATATTGCGTCATTCGTACGCGAACTTCTCGGATCGCCAATTACTCGGCGGTTTCGCGAAAATCGCGCGGACGCGTGTCTTTAATACGCCTCGTCTCGCGTGTGCAAAGAATGACAAAATACAGATCTTATAAAACGATCTATATTTTGAACGTAAAATTCTCACGCAAATAATAATATTATTAGGCCAAGATCCAGTACTGACCGTTCAACGGCGCGTTTTCCTTAATTTGATTGGTCTATATTTTATAGTATAAAACGAAGCAAAGAGATCGATTTGATATTTTGCAGAATTTCGTATCGTCGTTGGAATTTTGGTTTTTTTATAACATTTTGCAACGCCAAAGTAATTCGAATCTTCGACAATCGCGAGGAGTCGATCTTTGACAGGCGAGTGTAATGGAGCTCTCTCTCGGCGAGCTAATGCACTGTTAAATTCGTAGTGTCAAATTATACTCAATTTGAGTCATTTTTAGCCACTGCTTCTACTAAAAAGAAATATGGCGTTAATTTAATTAAACCAATGAAATTAAAATAATACTGTTGTGTGTGAAAATAATAAATTTCAACACTCGTGGTTGAAAAAAAATATTAGTTTCAATTTCACCCTATAATATTTAACAGCGTATAGGGTTCTGTCAAACCGTGACTCGGAGTTTCGCACGCGCCGTTCTCGCGTCTCATTCGCGCCGGAAGCACGTGCTCTAAGATGCTTCTAACGTCGCGAATCGATGATGAGAATCTCGCAAACGCGAGAGCTTCGAGCGATTTTTACGGAAAAGCAGCGCGCGTATTTTTCAAACTTTATCGAGATTTTAAGAGTCCGTCAATTTCTCGTTAATTACACGACACATGAAATATACCATTGTTCTTCACATCCGAACTCGCGCCGCCAATTGACCCTCTTTGTTAATGTTTTCGCCAGCGTGCGCCAAGGAAGGATGGTACTCACCAATCTTGAAAGGTTCCGTCGATCCGGAGCGTGCGATGGAACAGCGATCCACGATTGTCGTCGATCTCCAAGTCGATCCTATCGACCTTCGGGGGACCGCGGAACAGTCAGAAATATACAATTTCCCCGCGGGTTCCACAGGCGTAACTATCGCGACGCGATCGTCGAAACGGGAACGGCACGCGGCAATGCTCCGTTCATCGAACCTGCGGCGGTGCGGCGCGCGGCTGTCACTGCGACATAACAGTCGTCCCCGTAACACGAATCTCCGGCAACTTTACTCCGGCGTGGGCACTCGACGCAAAAAAACGTACCAGTACGAGTGCGTCCGTGCGGAGTGGGCACTCGCGGAAGAGAGAAAGACGAGGCACTCCCGAAAGGAACGATCGGCTGCCACTGCAAGACTCGACGCGAGACGACGGGCTTTTCTGCCTGGCCTGCCTGTCTGTCTGCCCCGCGCTCGGGCGAGTGAACTTGAACTCCGCGCTTCGCGGGTGACAGCGATCCGCGACGTACCGCGTCGTTGCACTGCGTGAAGCTCTCGACGGCGTAAACGCGTATATATACAGCGTGTATATATGCGAGCACACGTATGTATATCTTGTGTACAAGATATATTATACGTGGTGTGATGCGGGCTCCGCTGCGCGAAGCGAGACTCTCTCGTATAGACGCACACGTCCGCTCGCTACGAAGCCGGGCTGACAACTGACTGCGCGCACCGCGTGAGACTTCGACGGTGACTGCCGTACGTGCCGCCGTCTTGGCCCCAATGTCGTCTGGCTCCGATCCGATGTCGAGAAGGCTGACTGGACGGGGTTGCCTCGCGCGCGCGCGCATGTGTGAAGCCACGTTAGTGAACGTAGGTCGCGCGAGACGGCACAAGGGGTGGGGGGGGGGGGGGGGAGACAAGTTTACGCCTGGTTTATACGCGGTTTATGTGTGACGGTCTCCCCCCACCCCCGAGCGCTCACCGGTCTCCCTCACTACATCGTCCGCGCGACCGGCTCCCAAGTCCCAACGCGCTTCTGCGTCAGACCGTCCGGTCCCCCACTCTCGCCCCCCTATCACCGTGCGTTGCGCGACGACGCTCCCCCCGGTGCCGACCCCCCTCCCCTCCCGGCCGGCGCGGCGGTATCCTCGCGCCGCGGAATGCACCAGCGTCGTCGCTCCGAGCGGACGAGCCGGAGCGGCGCGATTAGATTGCGTCGTGTGCGCGACCGCGACGCAAGTGCCACGCAGGAGTGACACTTCGTCGATGGCGCACCGATGTGGCGGAATTCCTTGGGCAATTCCGGGAAATCGACGAAAATGACGGCTGGAGAGCGAGCCGAAACTTCTGATCAAGGTCGGGAATGCATGGAGAGCTCCAGCTCCAGCCAGAAGGCGAATTAAATAATCGAAGCATTTTTGAGAAAGTAGATTAGATCGAGGTATACGCTCGACTACTGTTTCATTTATTCGTATGTCCTAAGCTTACTTTGACTCTTAATACGTTAATAGCAAGGCGGCTTTTTAGAACGTATTTAGGAAGATGGGGTTGGATCCGATCTCTCTGTTTTGTTTATTTTTCAATTAATCAATGTACCAAATGAGTAAAAGGAGCAAATAATAATATAAAACTTCTTCTTCTGTTTATTTGTATAAAAAAACGCAATAAATTTATTATTAACTGACTTTAAATAATTGCAGTAAAACAAAAAGTGTAAAATAGACGAAGCCGTCGGTCGCATCCGACCTCGACCTTATTATCAGAGGGTTAATTTAGTTATGAAAATATGTATGTGTAAATAAATAATAATCCTCTTTCTGGAAGAAAGATAGATTTCGAATGGTTGTCAAATAGATTAAAATATCATCGAACATTGATTTCGTTCTATCTTTATCTATGCAAGTAGGCGCAATCACTGACAGTCAGTGACTGCTATCGATCCCTCCACTCGGTCTGTATTCCACGAATTTTAATCGCTACCTTTGGGGTGTGCCTCCGTCGGAGTGGGAGGGACATTAAGATCGATCTGCGCCAAAAGTACAAGGGCCAGCTCGACGACGGAACGTTAGAAAATTAAATTGAAATCACTACGAATTAACTCTGTGATTTCATGCCTCAGCCAGCCGACATCCTCGTCATTCGATACGACATTACGGTATCTTGGAATCAGAGTAATAATTTTATAATTCTACATTGTTAAATATTAAAGGATGGAA